TGAAGTACTTACCGAACATATAGTCCATTTTGGTGGACAATTTTGTTTCTTTCCACTCATCATGTTTGTTGCAGTCATACACCTATTAATATAAGACATAGAATATATATAAATACTTGGCATCACTAGTTTAATGATAACTACTGATTAATTATATGAATTTACATACGTTTCCATTATATGTTTAATGTCTTCACGCGGCCTATGACCAAGTGAATCAAACCAAAAAATTTCATTTAGTCGAGGACAAAGTCATTCTCAATGTTAAGCTTGAAGGAGTAAAGTGAGTTCTCTTAATTTAGTCTTTAAAAAAAAAAAAAAAAAAAAAAAAAAACTATATTGTACTCAGAAAATATTTGAGCTGTTTTGAAAAAAAAAAAAATCAGACTGTATTATCATCATTTGCAAGCAGTGAATGTTAATTATATTTAATTTGAAAATTAAATAAATGAACAAAAATCAATCAGAAAATATTACAGACTGAACTTGAGTAATAAAAGCCTAATGATGTACCTGGTGTCCATATTTGCAGTGATCCACAATGAAGGATAAGTTTTGATCTTACCTTGAAAGATTGTTTTCTTAGATACAGGTATAAGTTTACAAGCCTACAGGTAATAAGCTTAAATCTTATTACACAGCCTTACTGTCAAGGTTAGTCTGATAGCTCTTATAAAATTATTTGTAAGGAAATTCATATATATATCTATTTATTACTGTATATGAAATATTAAAAATCTAGGAACACATGCAGTGTCGAGTAATACTTACAGACAAACAATTGAGATGCTTTCTTCCAATACTTCAAATATGCCCATAATTGAGGTTAATGATAATACATAAAAAAACACAATTTACAAAATCAGCTGTGATAGGAAGGAAAAGGAAACAACCTTCAGAACAATGGTACCAACTCTTCATCTTTTCTTTAATATTAGGGACCGATGTGTACAGTTTATCATTTTGCATATATGTTATTGTTAAATACATGTAATACGAAACTAACCAGAAGGCTGATGTTACTGTAAACCATACGTCTCATATGTCTGCGAACACAACAACAAACTGTTATATGGATTACCCTCTTCAGAAACCAAAACCATAGAGGTATGTATATATGCACTATTAATTTCTAAAAATATTTCTTAATGCATATGTGTTGCACCAACAGTAGGTCTTTCACATCTTTGAAAGAAAACCCAGATTTGTTATTGTATGGTTGTGGGTTGCTCACAGACAATGGAAGTAACATAGATCAAGGTAAAGAGTTATAGTTTTTGTTGTTAAGAATATAAATGTAATGTAATCCTAATTTTACATCAGAATAAAACTGTTGGTTACAATATTTTGTTTGTTTTAATGTTTAGATGCATTGTAGTTTCACACTTAGTTACAAATTTTTGTATTTTTTACTGTACTACATTAAATTTGTAAGTGTAATTAACTATCCTCCTCAACATTACCTCACATAGCATTAATTTTTAAAACTTGGGTAAAAATTACTTCTAATACAATGAACTGGATCTTGGTTTCACAGAAATGAATTGTTTGGTTTCAAATATGCTAATGTATGCTACCAAATTTAAGGACAAGACATTGTAGGTAATTATAGCAAGACATTGCAATCTGGATATTCACAAGTGGCAAGGAATGCAGAGCTGGAAATCAAGTAAACAGATGCAACATGGGTGGTTTATTTAGCTGTACTTATAAGAAAAAATGAATACATTTCAAGTCAGAACATGGTTCATGTATTTCAAATCTCTGAATATCAAAATTTCACAATGTGAAATTTAACTTTGTGATTCAAAAGGCATAGTAAAAACAGTATATTAACTCTAATTTACGTATTAATAACTTACCTAATTGTAATAGATGAAAACTTACTTTTGCAGTGTAAGAATTCCCTTTACGGTTATTTCATGCAATAGTTCACTCAAAACAATAATTAAGCTCTATAGGACAAATCAAAATACTAACTACATACCATCAAATTAAAGTTAAAAAATAAAAAAATAATAATAATAAATTGAGGTGTGTAAGAATTCTCTGCTGCTGCAATAACCATTCAAAAACTTTACTAAGCTCATCAAGTGAATATATGATACTTACTTTTTGATAGTGATGCAAAGTAGATAAGAAACTTAAAATTAAATTTAAAGCTAAGAAAAATAAAATTAAACCAATGAAAATCTAAAACTAGGTAAGAAACTTAACATGGATTTGAATGTCACCAAGTCAGTATAAAAGTGAATGTAGTGATTGGGATCCATATAAGGAGCATTGAGGTTAATGATAATACATAAAAAACACAATTTACAAAATCAGCTGTGATAGGAAGGAAAAGGAAACAACCTTTAGAACACTGGTACCAACTCTTCATCTTTTCTTTAATATTAGGGACCGATGTGTACAGTTTATCATTTTGCATATATGTTATTGTTAAATACATATAATACGAATCGAACCAGAAGGCTGATGTTACTGTAAACCATACGTCTCATATGCCTGCGAACACAACAAAAAACTGTTATATGGATTACCCTCTTCAGAAACCAAAACCATAGAGCACTGCGTAGATAACATAGCAATGAATCACAAAACAACGTATAAGGCAAACTAAAATGTTTAGATACAGGGCAAAAAATTTAGAAAAATCGTGTTATATAAGGGGTAGTAAGCAGAGAAATACACGAAGACATAACATACCTACTATAAACACAAATTAAGATGGGTCTTAGTAATAGCCTACATGTTCAGAATAGAGATGAAATTTTTTTGAATCAAGGAACAGAATCATTTAAACCCGTTTGTTAAATAGAAAGTTTACTTATAAAAAAAAATCAAACAACAAAATGAAAGTATTTTGCTTCAAATTTGACTTTAGAACTGCGAATCCACCTAATAGATTACAAGATAATGCACATACTAACATAAGAATACAAAATTGGATGTCAAAATCGTCATGCATGTGATCTAGAAAGAAGGATTTCATCAAATATATACTTTAATGCGACTTAGTAAGTAAACAAACCCTTAATAGTTAGGGTTCACTGTATCTACTCAATTTCTTAAGAATTGTATGATAGAATTGGAATTAAGTGAGAGATATACTAGAAAACATACCAGAATAGGAAATTTAACTATGAAATTGACAGATACGGCTAGAATGTACAGATCTAAAATGGGGATTGTAGAAATAGACAAAGTAGGCCATACGGACATAAAATCGCTAAGAAGAAGAACCCGCCATAGGATCATCTACCAGCTGAAGTATACAAACGAATTTGCTAGGTAAAATAGTAGATGGTATGACCTTGTGTAGAACCTCTAGCACACCGAAGAAGACAGCGAGAAAGTTCTGGAAATGGAGTCAGTAGCCGTATAAAATTGCCAATTTAGATATTAGAGGGCTGTGAGGGTATTTTCGTAAATTTGATTCACTAAGCAATAATAATGTTAAATTATTTGTGTGTTAATTAATATATTAATAACTATATTATGTGTGTAAATTTCCATAACAAGCAATAATATTATTATTCTATTATTAGTGTGTTAATATATTAATATTAATACTATGTTCAAATTAATATTTTGAACAAATTAGTATACTATGTTTAATATATTAATATTAATAGTATATAAGTAGTGGATAAGTGGACTAAGCTATATAATTATTATTATTATTATTATTATTATTATTATTATTATTGTTAATAATAATATCAATATATTAGGATTAATAATAACATTAATATATTTTCTTTAAAAAATTATGTATTTTTTTTAGAAGAGACGGCCATGTGCAGTATTTGTACGCACCGCAATTAAAACGGCGTCGTTTCTTTAAGTAAAGAAACGGCGCGCCGTTACTTTTAACGGAACACGCATTTTGTATATGTTAATAACCAACTGACACTACAGTATATCTAAACCGACATTGCCTCACGTATTATTTTTATATTATCAAATGAAACTTCAGTTATATCAAAATGATACTGTAGTTGTGGTGAAATGAAACTGAATAACATTTCACATATTTGAGTGTATATTGTACAATGGAGCTGTAATTATATCAAAATGATCATGTAGTTGTGTTTTAATAAAACTATAGTGTATATAAAATTAAATGAAATAACATTTTCACATATTTGAGTCTATAAATACCAAATGAAACTGTAGTTGTATGAAAATGAAATTGTAGTTGTGTTGAACCGAAACTACAGTGTATACAAAATGAAACTGAATAACAGAGTTACTTTTTGCGGAAGAGTGCGGAACGGCAGGAAACATATGTCGTTTCTTTTCATTAAACAAAACAGCGTCGTTTTGATCCGCGATACATAATTAATTATGCATCGCGGCGCACGATATAATTTGATGTATTTGTTATACTAATTTGATTTCTATGTGATACTTTAGTAGAACTTATACATTTTTATCTTTTAAGTAAAACTTTCTCATAAACGATTCTTATGTTAATATTCAATTAACTTAACTTAATAGTCTATAAATATTATCCGTGCAACGCACGGGACAATTACTAGTAATAATAACAAAAGAAATCCACCATTTCATGTTCATGTGGTGTTATTTCCGTCCATTATTATTATTATTATTATTAGCTGATCAATGAATATTTTGAGATACTTTCCTAAGACACTGCTAGAAATCAACAGATTTCCGACCACCCAAAAGTGGTCGGAAATAGCATAAATTCGGTCAGAAATAATGTTGCCGACCACTTTCCCGATCAAATTGGGTATCCGGAAAACGCCCCGTCGCTATAGCGACCACTTTTATAAAGTCGTCGGAAAAGAACTACCAGCAAAACAATCGAATGGATACCGGTTTTCCGACCACCGGTGGTCGGAAACATCACCAATTAAATATTATAGTAAGGTTATTTCCGACCACCTTTGGTGGTCGGAATTAGTTAAGTAAAAATAAAAAAAAATAATTTACTGCTGTAAAATTTAATACAAATTATCCTCAAATAGTTTCATAACAACATTTTACTTCAATTTATTACTCATTGTCAATTATATAATACAAAGAAGGGGTTCAAAGCCTCAAAAACAACAAATGGCATACAAGTTCTGCAAGGTCAGTTCTGACTATTTCCTTTTTAATGGCCGCTACAGCTGAAGTCGATTTCATACTCAGCATCGGATACATTACACATACACCAACATCAAATCCTTACCTAAGATATTCTATCATAGTCACTTGCCTGCTAAACACAAAGCATATTTTAGTAATCCATCAAAACCTAATACAAACTAAAGTTCATTTAATTTTTCTTCTATTGAATATGAACAAGAGATAAACACGTACCTAGAACCTGCTATTGTAATGCCATAATTCTTGTACAACAGATTACACAAGTAAACACATACCTAGAACATGTCATTGTAATGCCATAATTCTAGCAGATTACACAAGTCAGGGATTTTGGCAAAAGTTTGGAAAAATATTGCAAGAGTAAAATAGAAACCAAAAGATCATAACAACTATTCATCATAGATAATGCAGGAGTAATAACCTTTCAAAACACCACACAATATCCCGGGCACATAGAGCACTCAGAACAATGCATAGGGAGCACCATAATAGAATTACATATGACCTTCATTTTATTTGCATGTAAATATTACTAGTCTTAGAAGCAAAAATCAATTACAATAAACATCAAATCCTTACCTATGATATTCATCATATTCAAAATTATAGCCAATTGCCTGCCAAACACAAAACACATTTTAGTAATCCATCAAAACCTAATACAAACTAAGGTTCATTTAATTTTTCTTCTATTGAATATAAACAAGAGATAAACATATACCTAGAACCTGCTATTGTAATGCCATAATTCTTGTACAGCAGATTACACAAGTAAACACATACCTAGAACATGTCATTGTAATGCCATAATTCTTGTACAACAGATTACACAAGTCCGGAATTTTGGCAAAAGTTTGGAAAAACATTGCAAGAGTAAAATAGAAACCAAAATATCATAACAACTATTCATCATAGATAATGCAGGAGTAATAACCTTTCAAAACACCACACAATATCCCGGGCACATAGAGCACTCAGAACAATGCATAGGGAGCACCATAATAGAATTACATATGACCTTCATTTTATTTGCATGTAAATATTACTAGTCTTAGAAGCAAAAATCAATTACAGTAAACATCAAATCCTTACTTATGATATTAATTATATTCAAAATTATAGCCAATTGCCTGCTAAACACAAAGCATATTTAGTAATCTATCAAAACCTAATACAAACTATGGTTCATTTCTGAAGTAGTGGACCAAAAGTATAAAGCTTTTAAAATACCTCCTATGTTCTTGTCACAAGCTGGAGCCAAACCAGCACTCAGGGGATAAAGAGTAACATCTAAATCTGCAGATCCATGATGCAAGTAAAAAATCTGCAGATTTTATAATTCATACCAGTTCCTAATGATTCACAAATCTTTCTTTTCCAGACAGCAACCACTAACCAGCAAGTCAATTTTAATTAAACAATAACAATTCTAGATAATAAATCATCTATTAATCCTAAAGAAATCAAGAAATATAAAATTTACTGTCACAATACTTGAAAATTTCAAATTTACAACTTTCAATTATGGAAAATTAAACAATAAATAGAATTAGGAATTTAGGGATTAGGGTTTAACCTTCGTAGCTGCGCACATCCCCAATTCTCTCTAGCAGCTGAAAGAATAGCTCTCCTTGCGTCAAACCCAGAAGTCCAGTTCGACCTTGCACGTCCCCCATTCGGAATTCTCTCTTTGCCGACAAATTGACTTTAATTGATTAAGAAGAAAGTGTGCTCCATAATATGAATTAATAATTATAACACACATAAATAATATACAATAATCACACTACTCACTCACCTGAGTCCTCGCTGCCCTCACTGGAGTCGTCGATGTGTCGCCAACGGTCACCGGAGTAGCTGATGTCGCAGGACGCTGCTTCTGAAGCCCTTTCGCAGTACGTTGTTGAAGAAGGAGCTGGATGGCCGGATCTACGCCAAAAGCCGAAGCCGCAGTTTGATTTGGCCAAAGATCTCGCTAGATCTATGTCAAAAGCCACAAAGCCGTATCTGCTGCCGTCACCCACAAGAAGCCCGTCGATCTGTACCGTCGTCAACAAAGAGAAGTCATCGAACTGCTGCCATCGCCAACGCACCGTTGCTGTGGAGGAGAGATGTGGGTGTGACAGAGTGAAATAGAAAGAGGGTTCGGCTGATGAGGACCTGAGGGGCGGCGAGAGATATGTAGTCCAGATTGAAAACCAATTTTGGCTAAAGAGCGGGTAACCCAAAACCATTACCGCCAAGTTTATATTTGGTATAAATTGTAATTTTTTGTCCAATTCATTTTAATTTTGAGTTAAATTTAAGTTTAATACATGAACACTTTTAGTATTAAAATACACTATTAATTAAAATATTATAATTTATAAAATAATTTAGTTACCTTTATAAATTTTGTAGGAATTTATATATATATATATATATATATATATATATATATATATATATATATATATATTATGTAAATTACAAACTCTGACTAATTATAAAATATAATAATAATTAATTGGTTTGCATTATTATGGAATAATATGCATTTCGTGGATGTAGTGAAATGTATAATTTCATATCTATTTTCAGTGTAGGTTCTACAACTAAAAGTCATGGAGATGGTGCAACACTACAACTATATGTTTGATGCTTAACACAATAGTTATTGTTGCGCTGGTTAATTTGTTAGAATTGTCTAGGACAATAGAAAATATGATGGGATGGTTGAGTCATGTTATTTTGGCATATGTACAATCTTTGAAAAATCTCTTTACTACATTGATATTCTTTTAAGTGTGAAATCATTATGAAATTGTTCGAGACAAATGCTAAATCTATTTGTCAAGCAAATTTAAAAATTATAATTGTATAATTTATTTTTTATTTTTAATGTTTATCTTTAATATAATATTTATAAATAGTATAAATCTTGACATCTTTATTTTTTAATATTTATGAATATATAAATATTACTGGGAATTGTCGTTCCGGTAGAATTTTGTTTCTTTTTCGTTTTTAGCGGCGGTCAACAGTGATTTTCAGTGGTCAATGTTGGTTACTGGTAATTTAGGCTTATTTTAGTCAATAATACATTTCTCTAGCATATTTAATAAATTGTGAGTGATAATATAGTATGAACTTTTGTTAAGTTTTATAATGATGAATGTTTGTATTATGTGATAAAAATAATACACAGTACAATATACGATGATATACAATCAATTATGTCAATTTGATAGAAACAAAGTGATGTGTTGTAGAAAGGGCAATCATGGCCACTAGTGTATGAGACACCGTAGCAGTGTCAGAGATGGTTCACTCAAATGAAATAGCGGCAAAACCATTATGAATGGATGCCATGAGAAAACCTAGACTACTGATACCATATTAATGTTTGTATTATGTGATTAAAATAATATGTATTACAATACACGATGATCTACAATACATTATGTAGGATTATGAAACTCAATCGAACTAGGATTGTAAAGTCCTAACAAGAATAAACGTTTTAAAGATTTGAAGTTACAAAATGATTTATGTATTTATATGGAATGGGCACGGTCTTATTTTTCATAGCAAGAATGGTGAGATGGCATCTACTAGTAAACTCTATGCGTCGTGGTCAGTTGAAATTGAAAAAAAAAAAAAAGTATAAGTGAAATAATCAATGATAAAAAGATAAATCATGTAGCTTTCATATACCATTGGACCAAAACAAAAAAGGGTCGGTAAAAAGGTGGTCGGAAACAAGATTAATTGATATAATGTAAATTGCCAGAAGATATTTCCGACCACTCAGGTAGTCGGAAGTATATTCTAATTTAAAAAAAATTAAAATTTGCGGAATTTCCGACCACTATGTAAATTGTTGTCGGAAATACCGACCACATAGTAAAAGTGGTCGGAATGTCCGACCACTTTCCGGGCACTGTAACCCGTCGTCGGAAAACTAAAAAAAGGTCACTTTTTGCGACCAAAATTTCGGGTGGTCGGAAAAATGCTGATTTCTAGCCATGAGACACCGACTTCGCGAAATCTTAAGAAAATGGGAGACTAGATGATGGATAATATACTAGGTCTGGGCCATATGGACCGACCCAAGAAAAGCAACTGGATCGTGGAAGCCCAAAAAGGACGTACAAGACAGAGCAATCTAAGGGTTTGTCAAGGATTGGGCATGTTATTCCTAATATAATTATAATTGCACTCATTATTTATAGTATAATAGAATTAGGTCTCATTATGTAACTAAGACTCCCAATATGAGGCAGTCTAGAATTCTTATTTCTTGTAGGGCTCTAGGCCCAAAATATGTATAAATAGGTCTCTCACATAGATGAGAATGGACAACTTTCTCTATTCACGAGCAATACTCTTCAATACAAAGTTCCTATATTTTCTCCATATATTTCTCCTATATTTTTCCTATATTCTCGTTATTCTAACGATAGTGTTGGCCTGCCGTTGACTGTCCAAAAGTCATAAAACCAACACAATATAATGCCCTAGTAGTTTACTATCCTCTTTATTTTAAACCAATGCATCATTGAGAGAGGCTTTGCTGATATAGTCATATAGGACCTACTCAACATGGAGAATTTGGGCTGGTGGTCCTTAGGGAAGTCCTTAGCTCAATTGGTACTCTTCACAAACTCTACCACTTTTATCCAGTGTATGGTTCAATGATAATGGTAGAGCCAAGTATATAATCATTTCTGTGATATTATCCTCCAAGTGACACACAATCAAAGTTGTTTGTTTTGGAGAGTGGTGAAGCTTTAGAGGTCTTTGAAATGTGGTAACATGCAAAGAGAAATGGGTTCTGGAGAAATTGTGAATAGAGGAGCTTTGGGAGGAATTCAAGTGTGGAAATATTACAAGGGTTACAGTGCTAAAGAGGCAAGACCTTAGTTTCTCTCACATTGTTTTCTAGGATTACAGTGCTGAAGAGGCGGACCTTAGTTTCTCTCACATTGTTTTCTAATAACATTAAGTTGGAAATGTGTAAACTTGAAGAATTGGGCAAGTATGAAAGAGCAGTTCTACAACGATTTTCATCAAGTTTCAAATGAAGCAGTTCTACAACGATTTCAAAATATGAAAAAGCGTAAAGGAATATTATCCCCTAGTTCATCATAAATCTTGTATTGTAATTTATAATGTATTTTGTATTTCAATTATCTTTATTTGTATTTGAATCTTGTATTTGAACATTTTTAAATTTATTTTACGCCACTGTGTACGTTGTTCACTGCAGAAACAATTTTGGGAAGAAAGCAAACGTTAATCAAGTGTGACTACCTATGAAACCTAAATTAGTTTATTTTATAAATCATATCATATTTTACTCACATAATTACAGGGTAATTTTTTCAAAAAATTTGGATACTAAAATTAGTGATGACCTTCAAGAATAGGGATGAGATGGTAAAAATGAGAGTGCCTCATTGTAGTAACAGTCGCACCAGATGCGAGCATTGACCACTCCTCATATACCCTTAAAACTTGCCTGAAGGATCATGGTTGATAACTTGGTATCACGGTGTCTTTTATAGTAGCCATATCAAATTATGCCCGGGACCCGTGTCCACAATGCATTGTGGACACGAGTCCAAAACGACGTCGTTTAAAAAAAAAACGCGTCATTCCAGTTTTTAAAAAAAAAATAGATTTTGTCTCACCGTTAACAGCGTTATTCGTTTGTGCCATTATGAATGTACAGTTATGACATTATGAATGTAAGTTATAAAATTATAAACACAGAACTCTGACATTATGAACTTACAATTATGAACATATAGTGATAAAATTATGAACATAGAGCTCTAAAATTGTGAACATGGAGCTTCGAAAATTATGATTTTACAGTTATTGAATTATGAATGTACAGTTACGGAATTATGAATGTACAGTTATACAATTATGAATGTACAGTTATACAATTATGAATGTACAGTTATGGAATTATGAACACAGAGCTCTGACATTATGAACTTACAATATAAACATATAGTGATAAAATTATGAACATAAAGCTCTAAAATTATGAACATAGAACTTCGAAAATTATGAAGTTACAGTTATTGAATTATGAATGTACAGTTACGGAATTATGTATGTACAGTTATGGAAGTATGAATGTATAGTTATTGAATTATGAGCATAGAGCTCTGATATTATGAACTTACAATTATGAACATATACTCCTATAACAAAGTGGTCTAAAATTTAAAAAAATAAAAAATAAAAAAAAATGTTGAAGATTGTCACCCATGCTGGACATGGGTCCATAGCATAACAATTGCACCAATTCTATTGCTCACAAATCCGATGTGGGATGCTCAGAGGTCGACGCCGTATTGGGCCTTCTTGCCGTTAGGCCCAAGTCCATTTGCTATAACCCAATTTTGAACAGGAACGAGATCGGTCTATACAGTTATAGTGCACTCGTCCCATGGGAAGGGACACCATGTGTGGGAGGGTCTAGCTCTCGTCTCATGGGAAGGGACGCTTCTAAGGCGAAAAGAAAAAAAATGCAATCAACAACACAGTCAACGACATCAAAAAGTTTGGGCGAGCAAGTTGAAATACAAGTCAATGTGCAAAGGAAAAAATAAACTTCATAAAACAATATATGAAGGGACAAGAAGAAAGGCTGCAACAACAACAACAAACTGAGAAAAATAGACTTCTCATTCAGCTTATACAACTAAATACATCAAGTATGAATGAAACGCAAAAACAATTGTACGATAAGCAAATGAAGAAGTTTTTAGATGAGTAAGTATGGTGAAATTAATTTGTATGCATTGTATTTCTAAATCAATGAAATGTTATGTATTCTTTTAATATATTATTTTATTAAAAAAAATATGACATATTAAATAAAAAAAAAATTAATATGGCAAAATACAAAACAAATTAAACAAATAAAATAAAAGAAGTGATACAAAATTAAATAAACTAAAAAAAACAACAACAAAAAAAAAAGTACTGCAAGTTTGCAAGCAGTGCAAACTTGCAATCCTAATCACCATTAAAAAAAAAAAAAAAAAACATACATGGTAAGCTCCATGTCATCTTGCAAAGGTTGGGATTGCAAGGGTAATCCCAGCCTTATGAAGGCAAACTGTTTGCTTGTTTGACGCAGAGATTAGGTGGTGACGTCCGAGAAGGAAAACGCACACAATTCAACTATATAGGTTAGGTTTGCCTCTGAAAGTCTGAATATTAAAAGCATGATAGTATCCGGCAATAATGTGATTGGTGTTCAACCTAAACCTAACACTAATGGTTAAATTGTCACGGTCTTATACTGCATGCATTGGGGGCCTTTATACATTTGGGTGCTCTTTACCTATATTTTACTAGATTAGTTACGTTAGAGAGATATATGCATGGGTTAAAGCTGGTAAATTAATTTAAAAGACTTAAATTTATGTGGAAATCTTGCAGGCAGCTTAGATTAACAATTGATTGTTTATGCATATCCATAATGAATGCATTTACCCAAAACCCATAATACTTAGCTTATTGTGTAATTTAAGTTTATACTAGGTAGACTGCTGATCGAATTGATGGATGGCTTAATTGAGGCAACAAAAGATGGTTCAATAACATATATGGAGTACTGAAGATGAAAATGATGATAATGAAGAGGTATGGCAATTGGCATTATATACATCACTCATAACTTCTCTTTCTTCAATACAATTATATATGCGGTTGTTTTCGATCTGTAGTGGATTCATAGGACTACAATTAAAATCCCTGCCTGTTTTATAATCAAAGATACCGGATGGTTGTCATGGGAATCCAGGGCGGGGCCGGATTCATAACGGGAGATTCATCAACGACAATGTTGCACTTTGCCTTGCATTCGTCTCCGCTAACCTCAGAAATTGCTTTTTTTTATTCTCTCCTTTCTTCACTTGCTCTTAGTATTATGAACGAAACGAACGAACAGTTTTTCTAATTTTTTTTTTTTTATCCATGTATGGTACGTGACTTGGATACACGTTTGAGGAGGAATAAATGGATAATCTGTTCGTTCATTTCGTTCATAATACTAAGAGCAAGTGAAGAAAAGAGAGAATAAAAAAGGCAATACCTAAGGTCAGTGGAGACTTAAAATGCAAGGCAAAGTGGGACATTGCCATTGCTGTATCTCCCGTTACGATTCCAGGTCTCCAAGGCCACCCAAAAGTCGGGAATCCATCCTGCGGCTGTCTACTCGCCGGAACCGCCGGAGGTCCACTCGCCGGAACCGCCGGAGCCGCCGGAGGTCCACTCGATGCTCCTGGTCCACTGCAACATTTACACCGCCCACAAATAATTAAATAATTAATTAATGTCACCAAAAAAAAAAAAAAAGGGCTTGAGCTCATTCGACCAAAATAATTAAATAATTAATTACTATGCGTTAAAATTAAATTAATTAATCTTAATTACCTTGTGGTTGGAGGGCAGAATGTAATTTTATAATCGGCGCCTGAGCACGTAAACGTACTAGTGGCGTCATCGTAGCCGTAGCTATAAGACGTGGGGCATGCATTTATGAAGATTTGAGAGTACATCGACGGTTGACATGTCGAAGGTGAACCGTACGCGCCGCTGCAACAGTATTCCGGGTTGCCTAATGCGTCGCACGCGCTTCTGCATGCCAGCCCGTCTCCGGACCGGAGCTCCTTCGGGCAAATCCGGTTCACGTCCGCGGCGCAACCGGTTGACCCGCACGCTCCGGTCCCGCCAATGGCCTCTACTTGCATTGGCAAGTTGTACCCGTCCACCAGGCTGACGTCGTAGAAGTCCATATTATTAGCGCCCGATGACGCGATCGTGAACTCCGCCAGCGTCGCCGGAGGTGTTGCGCCGGCGCCATTGCATTCCACCTGATTGGACCGGCAGTCGCCGGTGGCGCAGCTTCCCACTCCACTTCCGGCGTCGAAATTACAGCCGGTTCTCCCCCAAATCCGGCCGGACCAACTCGACGTCCCCCGGAAACTCCGCCACGCCCCCGGCGCAAGCTCGAACCCGGTGGTATTCAATCCGGCACTGCCGGCATTGGCCAGAACTCCCGGCCATACCGTGTAACCGCATTGGTTGATCAACGTAAAAGTGGCTCCTCTAGCACCTGCGAAAACCCAAAAAGAACATATTTATCATCAACATCAGTCCAATGATGATCATAAATGTCCTAATCCCAGAATGTAACAATCTATTTACCTTGGACAATGAGGATGAAGAACAGCAGACAATAAGCAAAATTTGGTGACATTTTAAGCTACAGACGGATAGATAGTATGATGATCAAGAAAAGTTTATGGCCGGTGGTGAGAAGAAGAAGAAGAAGAAGAAGTAGTTTGAGAAGTTTGAGAAGTTTGAGAAGAAGAAGAAGAAGAAGAAGAAGAAGAAGAAGAAGTACGTAGTTTGAGAACTTTGAGAAGAAGAAGAAGTACGTAGTTTGAGAAGTTTGAAAAGTTTGAGAAGAGAATTGAAGAAGAATGATACATATATATAGAGAATCAAAATGCATGTAAAATCTAAAATAGGACTAATCACTTAATTCTATGATATGCTTATTCGAAATAATCATTTTATACAATGATCAAGAATAATGTGAATGGGAATGAAAATCTGTGAAAAAAAAAATGAAGAAAGAGAAGTGTTGAAATTAGGTTAGGCAATGCAATGAGAATGATTGTTTTTGTGTCAGACCCTAACAAATTAAAACCAACTCACCACTTCACTTGAAATTGCTATAAATTAAATAATAATAATAAATTTTCAAAAAATAATAATAATAATAATAATAATAATACTTTCAAAAATAATAATAATAATAATAATAATAATAATAAATAAATAAAAGTGATGCGTTACAATAGGCTAATAGATAGTATGATGATCAAAATCATTTTCTATTTCAATCTAAAATCATTTTCAATAATATTGAAATAAATATAAAATACACCGTAATACACTTATGTAAATAAAAATAATACACTGGTGTATTACACTTATGTAAATAAAAATAATACACTTCCAAATTTAAATGGTGGCTCAAATTTTAGAAGCATTAAATTTATCAAAATTAAGATTTCATACTTCCTATCCTAATAAATTTTAATTTAATTAAAATAACATAATATACCCATACCCTTAAAGATCATTTTACATATAATAAGCTAATAGTAAACATCTAATTTACCAAACACTTTTTTTTTTATAACCAGCTAATACAATCACCTATTAACTATTAGCTAACTCGATAGTAATCATTTGTAAAATCAATCCGTTAATTACATAGTGTTGTTAATGTCATTCTTAAGTATCTCCTAAACTGATTATTTTTGTCCTCATGTCACAACAAGGATTAAATTTATTTTAAATTTTACATATATTTTGAATTTTTATCTTTAATTTAAGATAAAATGATACATATACATGTAAAATTTAAATTTAAAATTGGACTAATGACTTCAATTCTATGATATGCTTATTCAAAATAATCATTTTATACGATGATCAAGAATATAATAATGTGAATGAGAATGAGAATCTGTGAAAAAAGATTGTGGAAAAATGAAGAAAGAAAAGTGTTGAAATTAGGTTAGGCAATGCAATGAGAAGGGTTGTTTTTGTGTCAGACCCTAACAAATTAAAATCAACTCACCATTTGACTTAAAATTGCTATAAATTTTAGTTATAATAAAATTTTACTCTTCAACTAGTAAAAGGTGCATTCTTGGCTTTCTTTCTAATACAAGTAAAAAAGTATGAGTGATGAGATGTAAATCTAAATTTATTACTTAAAAAAATGTGTAAATCATCACAAAACGTTACTCAAAAAAAAAAAAAACATTACATGTTATTGACTTAATCATTAAGCAATTTAAAATACAGTGAAATACAAATATAATATCACTTAATTCATTCTCTTAATCATCCATCATATGTTACAATAATCTATCAAGTACTAATATTATTATTATTATTATTATTATTATTATTAAATAATAGTCGCATGCTGCATATTTCACTTCTTCAACGAATGTGTTGGGTCTTCACTCAGCTGCCTCCCACGTACTCACGTAGCATGTGTTACATTGAATTATCTCCACTTCATGCCATATTTCTCTCCAACTTTTCTTTTAGTATAAATAGCAATTGCTTTTCCTTTCAAAAAAAAAAAAAATACCAAAAAACAAAAAAAAAAAAAAACAAAACAAAACAAAAAAGAAGCAATTGCTTTTAGTATAAATAGCAATTGCTTTTGCTTTGTAATTCATCATCAGTGCATCAATTTAAATTCAATCCTTTCTCTTCTTTATCTTCTTTCAATTCACGCGTATGTATGTATATATATATATATATATATATATATATATATATATATATATATATATATATATATATATATATATTCCTTGCAAGTGAGGTATGTGCCTTACTACTTGTGGTCTCTATATACCTAGCTATTTTATTTAAGTCTTTTCTCCATTTTCCTTTAAAAAAAAAAAAAGTCATCTTAAAAATAACTGATGAAAATGTTAGGTTGAATACAATGATAAGGATGTCAATATAATGGAACACTAATGGGTTGATTAAAAACATTAAAAGTTAGTGGGTTAAAGTTGAAAATTAGTTCAAAATTTAATAATTCTCTTTGGTCAGACCACTCGGTGTCCTGACCTTAACTGTAGGGCGCATCTTTAAATTAATAGACATCTCTTACAAAGAGTCAAATTTAGAACTAGGTGGTTACCAAGTCAACTATCTAATTTACCTGGCCGAGTTCGCCCCTTGATTGACATATCTATATCATAGAAACAAATTTTAAATAATTGTCATTAATAAACTATTTTAAATATTTAAAATCATTTTCAATAATATTGAAATAAATAAAAAATACACCGCAATACACTTATGTAAATAAAAATAATACACATATGTAAATAAAAAAAATACACATCCAAATTTAAATGATGGCTCAAATTTTAGAAGCATTTATCAAAATTAAGATTTCATACTTCCTATCCTAATAAATTTAAACTTAAAATAACATAATATACCCATACCTTTAAATGTCATTTTACATATAATCAGCTAATAGTAAACAGGTAATTTACGAAACACATTTTTATAACCAGCTAATACAATCAGTTGGTCAGACTAGCTAATACAATCAGCTAACTCGATTAGCTATCATTAGTAATAATTTGTAAAATCAATCCGTTAATTACATAGTATTGTTAATGTCATTCTTAAGTATCTCCTAAAGTGATTATTTTGGTCCTCATGCCACAACAATTATTAAATTTATTTTAAATTTTACATATATTTTATTATCTTTAATTTAAGATAGAATGATACATATAGAGAATCAAAATGCATGTAAAATCTAAAATAGGATTAACGACTTCAATTCTATGATATGCTTATTCGAAATAATCATTTTATACGATGATCAAGAACAATGTGAATGGGAATGAGAATCTGTGAAAAAAAATGAAGAAAGAGAAGTGTTGAAATTAGATTAGGCAATGCAATGAGAATGATTGTTTTTGTGTCAGACCCTAACAAATTAAAATCAACTCACCACTGCTCTTGAAATTGCTATAAATTAAATAATAATAATAATAATAATAATAATAATAATAATAAGTGAGATGCGTTACACACACACACACAAAAAGAGTAAAAGTAAAGCAAAAGAAAAAGAAAAAGAAAAAAGTAAAAGTAAAGTAAAAGTAAAGCAAAAGTAAAAGTAAAGTAAAAGAAAAAGAAAAAAAAAAAGAGAAAATTATGTGTGCTTCAGATTCCAGCTTGGCGCCATGTTTATGGGCATTTTACCTTAATTCTCTCGATGATATATATCGTAATTGGACTAACAAAATTCACATAATAATTATTATTCTTAGGGATCGGGCTTAAAAAGTTAACAAATATTAGGTCCAAAACTTACAAAATCATTTGAGCTGTCAAAAGAAATCTAGATGCCTTCTTGCTATGATGGATAGTCCAGTTGGGGATGGAGCAAATGCAAAACAAAACGTGCCCCTTTCATCAACTGGTATAAGAATGTTCGTAGCTGGAATGGTCATGATCGGACCACCCATAAGAAAAAACGATACGATTGGTACCAAAACCGTAACGAACCCGTTTAACTCGTAGTATGTGTCGAATATTGAGACGCTGGGTGCCCGAGAAACGGATTGTTTAACGTTGAAATGCTGAAAGGGGATGGTGTGGTCGGCTCAGGTATTGGTTTCGGTTGCGGATCGGAGGTTGTAAAGAAAAACAGTGAGAGGAGGATATATATGGATCGGACAATATATGTAAGCTAAGCAAATTAAAGGTCTCATAGATAGATAGTGATGAGGTTGTTGGAAGAGTTGCAGAGAGGATGAGTAAGGGATGAGTGAGAATGAGAGCATTGGAAAGGGATGCAGACTATATATAGAAGGTGATAAAGAGAGATTAAAGAAAGAGACTATAATAACCTGCCTCAACTAATTACAAAAATATCCTTGACAATCCTACCCTTCTACTTCATCTCATATCCCATATTAAGTATAGTAGGTTTTTTTTTCCTAAGTTACGTTAGTATTCAACTATTGTGATTCTACCCAATTTAGTCATCAACTATAATGATTTTTATTGATCTAATGCTTGATTTTAATAGCCGAAAACTCAATTGGATAAAATTATCGAAATTGAGGACTTAATTAAACACAAAAAATTGTTTATGACTAAATTTAAAAAAAAAAAAGAAAAAAAAAAAGAAGAGAGTTTGGAAGCGTGGAATAAGGAGGGCCACCAATTTAGGTGGTCTAGGTTTTTTTTTTAAAAAAAAAAATAAAAATATTTAGGAATCTGCAACTAAATTTTACTAGAAAATTTCTAGTCTAGACAAAGCACAATAATAATAATAATAATAATTATTATTATTAACTTGTTATTATTATTATTATTATTAATTTATTATTATTAGGATAACATTTGTGTGAGACAATTCGTGATTTTGGAAGGTAATATACATGCATGGCAATGGCTAAAAGAATGTGTTTAGGTACAGTGTGTTTTCTTTTACTTTTCTTCACTGTACATGTATTATAAATTTATAACTTAATATATGCTATTGTACTGTTTTGCCTTTACAAATTTTATAATTACTCAAACTTATTTCAGAATTATTGGTCAAATTGACTAAATGAACAATGCAGTAGCTAATTATTTATTTAGTCCACAAAGTAGTATAAATGTTGCAAAATGTGGTTGCCACTTCCATAGGTAAAGTTCCTTGTACTTCACCTTTTAATCACTTTATGTGGTGAGCTAAAGTAATCTTTGATTGACATTGTCAACTATACACTTCCAAACTTTACCATTAAGTAAACTTTATCATTAAGTACTCGTAGTAATTTTCATACTCTGTTTTATTTTTTAAAAATACAAATTTTATAATTACTGAAACTTATTTCAGAATTGGTCAAATTGACTAAATGAACAATGCAGTAGCTAATTATTATTTATTTAGTCCACAAACTAGTATAAAACTTATCTGTATTTTCTTACGAAATATTTACTTTATTTTCTGCTTTGAAATGTGCTAGTATATATTTTTGATGTTCTCTTTTAATTTATTGGTTGATAACTTACTTTTGAAGCATCAAAATCTATATTCATATTGTAATATGGAATTAGTCATTGCTTAATAAGGAGCGTGGATGAAAAAACCTCAAGCTATTCAACAAACCTACCTATATGCTCTACAATAATAGCGTGCATTGCGCATATCATCTCATTTTAATTACCGACAAATAAGGATCTTTTTTCCCTTCTTTTTGGTGTATATATTATAATTTGCATGCAGTGTGAAAATCAAATGTGATATATGTAACATCATTACAATACTCTCCTGTTAAGTAGTACACTAGGGGTAGGGGTTTCGAGATTAAAAATGATGCCTTTCAGTTTAACAATAGTTCGGTTCGGTTTAAGAACCCCAATTTTTAAGATTTCTTAATTTTCCAAATATAGTACCAAACAATATATACATATTCACATAGTTAAAATCCAAACTCTAAACATTATATAACAAAATAGCAATCCAAAGTTTAAACACACTACTAAGTACTAATAACCAAACATCAGTTGGTTCACTTGGAGTATTTTGTTGACAAGATGAAAAATCATCCATCTGTATAGTTAATACGAGTTTTTTCACGCGCATCGCGCGAATCGGATAATGCCCAATATTTAATTTTAAATAACTACTTCAAAGTATATAAATGCAAGATTATATAGGAGATGTTCATGGATAGGTAATTGAATGTTGGATTTGTTTATTTAAATAGTAATTTAAAGTATATGAATGCAAGATAATATATTAGAGATTGATAATAATTATATTGTCACTAAAATAAATATTTGCAACTTTGTAATAACGCTAGATAATTGAAGAGCAAGATTATATTGGAATTGTTCATGCATAGATAATTGAATGTTAAATTGACATATTTAAATAGACAATTCTAAGTTTACAAATACAAGATAATATAGTCAAGATTGATTATAATTGTCAATAAAATAATTGTATAGGTATGGTTGAAACCAAATACGGGACATAAGGGAGAGCAAATAAAAATGTGGGCATAAAATATTAAATATATACTAATATTGAAGAGTTAACTGCTGATTGCCAAACAAGGACATTGCGAGATAGTTTCCTACTTCAATTTGTTGTATGATTTGAATACTCGTTTTGTCAATAAATCCCACAAGTAGTTAATATGATTGGCTTAATTATATATTTTTATTATTTTAAAACTATTATTATTATTATTATTATTATTATTATTATTATTATTATTATTATTATTATTATTATTATTACTATTACTATTACTATTACTATTATTATTATTATTATTGATGGGGTGTGAACCCCGTGGGCTCGGGGCCCAAGAAGAAAAGAGATAAAGCCCAGACAGAGAAGGGAAGCCCAAGAAGAAAAGGAAGCAAGCCCAAAAGAGGTACGAGCCAAACCGAGGAGTCGGTTGGCCCAGGAGTCGGCTCGACCCGGGAGTCGGCGCGAGTGTGGGATCGGCATGGGTAGAGGGTCGGCCTAAAACTAGCCGTTAGCCCCTATTAAATTCCTAATTATCTACCCTTAAAGTCCTATTTACTACCCCACTATTCCTAACCTCCCACTTATTACCACATCTTATTATTATTATTATAATCCATAACCCCTAACATAAACACCTATTCACTACCCTCTTGAAACCACCCATAAATCCTCTACTAAATGCCCCAACGGACACTTTTTGAGGAGCTAGCTATAAGAAGGGGGGAAGACAAGAAGAGAGGGACCATCCATTCATTCATACACACATGGGAGGACTCTCCCAAACACTCTTCCTACACACTTGAAGACCACTATCAAATTTCCCACAACTACTCTCCTAGGAAGGCCTCATTCCACAATATACAATGGAAGACCCCATCACTCTTCCTACGCCACTCTTCCACTCTCACTCAAGAAGACTCCATTTTTACTAGAAGAGAAGTTCCAATACATGAAAGAAAGAGAGGCAACCACATTCTTACATCATACACTCTATACAAATACATGTACAAATACCTACAAAAATAGTGAAAGTCTTTAGGCTTGGCACCGCCCAAAAAGGCCCGTGGTTTTCCTTTCGGTTTCCACGTACAAAAGCATCGAGTTATATTTTCTACTTATTTTCCTATAAGCCGCATGTGAAAGGTGAATCCACCGACCAAGGTTGTGTTGGACCTCCCTGGGCCCGAAAACCCAAAAACCAACACTGGCACCGTCTGTGGGGATCGTGACAAAAGGTCACGTTTGCCTCTTTGTCTGAGCAATTTCGGAGAGCGTCCGCTACGGACGGAAGATTGAGAAGGTTCACGGAGTACCGTGGACCAAGAAGAGGACTAGAAGAGAATCAAACAAAGAAAACTGCGTATCGAGGTCTACAAGAGGTAACCATTATCATCTAAAATAGATGTAGTATTTAAATTAAAATTGTTAGCGAAGAGTGGTCGGTCCATCATAGTGAAGGACTCGGCCGGGGGAATCAAGAAGTCGGGACGCCGAATAAATGGTTCCCCCACCACGACCTTAACGGTAGACACCGTGGTCACAATTATTTTCTCCGTTTTTCTCTTGATTATATTGAAAAAAGACAAGCAGTATGTTATTAAATGAGGCTCGTAGAGAGGCTCTACAAGATATACATATTCCAGAAGGTATTCCCAGTTTCAGTTTCCAGGGGAATGAAAATTTCCAAATCAACATCAAGAATTCATCCAGAGCAAAAGACACCTTGAATTACTATGCAAAAGAGGCATTCCGCCACCTATCATTGTGGCCGAGTACATAAATATATGAACGGACAGAAATCGAAGCAACACAATCTTCGCCGACAACATTACGAATTATCGTGCAAACTTGTTATTTCGCGGAGATTTGGATATTCAAAACGTGGCTGTTCACAGTCACCAAGCTCTGAATAAGACAAATACTGTGCGTGGAAGACATGAAACAAGTCGGTATACAAAGGATCAATGATCATGAAAGTGCAATCAGACCGAGGGAGTAGGAGGCTATTGACCACCGCCACGAAATTCGAGAATTTATGCTAAAGTCTTGTATATGCCATGATTGAAACAATGCATCTAACTGTGAGTGCTCGGATCGTGAGGAACGCCTGGTTGGCGGGAGAACCGCACTCGGCCGATCAGCCTCCTCAGTTGATGGCTTCCAGGCCACTCGGTTCCTCCGGGATCAACTCGTGCGCAATAAGCCAGAGTGAAAGGAGCAGTCAGTCGTCGTGTGCGAATGAGTCGAAGCAGAAATCTCCAAACGCCTCTTCCACCACACAGTCTACGGCCAATGGAGAAGTTGCAAAAAAAAAAAAAAACAAAAAAAAAAAACAAAACAAAAAAAAAAAACAGATAAGAAGGCATTAACGATGAATCTAGCCAACTATGCGAGTCCGATGGCCAGCCACGACTGCCGGTTAGGCTTCCAGCCTCAGCCCTCGAGTAGTTGTCACCCACCTTCGCGACTCTGCTTCGCTAAGCTACTGAAAATCCACGGCTCAAGGCTGCCGTATCTCGCCGCTACTTATTTTGCGGCCATGGTTCATTTCAATCCACGGTGATGAAGCAGCAATGTATCAATTCAATTCCAGAGGGGTTCCTGGTATCCTGCAGAAGAATGTTCGACCTGATTCCCTTCTTCATAAAAACAAAAATCTGCATGTGTTTACGAAGGGGAAGAGCCGAGTCCTCAAAATCGCCCTCATTTTCACCATCCGACTCCGACTCGTCGATCGTCCGAGTCGACCGGAGTTTGCGGCATACTATCCAGAGAGCCGCCCTCCATCTCTC